CTTTCTTTACACTGAGGTGCCTTTTATGCTGCTTAAAGATAGAAGCTCATTTGATAACTTTTGGGGGCTGAAATTCTCAGTTCATCTAAAACAAGGCTGCTTCGTCCCCCAAGCCTCGCTGGTACAGCTCCAGCCCAGCTTGGAGGGATCAGCACTAGAAGAAATCAGAATAAATCCTTTCCTGTGCCCTCTGCTGAAAGACTGCTAATTGGTACCAGTTGCTATGTTTGATACGGGAGTGGGGGAAAGGGAGAGATGCGGGGAGGGAGGTTGTGACAGAAGCGTGTATCATACGTGTGCTGCCACTGAAACAAGCCACTAATTAACTTCGCTGACAGTTTCTGTAGATGCAAGCTAAATGAAGGTGTAATTATCTCTGGACTGAACTATTTTGTTGGTCTCATCAGGCTTCTGTGTTTCAGTTTTGATCAGCGGATAATGGTCAGCCATGCAGAGCTCATTAACTCAAGCTTCCAGGTAGTGTAGCCGGCCTTCATTTGAAGGGTGCTGGAGTGAGCTGTGCTGCGCTTCCCCGAGACCTCCCCACCTGTGGCGTGTGGCCTTAGCAGCCTCGGGAGAGAGGCCATAAAATTTATGAGCAGGGTGAATAACAACCTCCATGCCCTCCCAACACTTCTTTACCCACGACTGTCAGCGTGGCACTGTTACCGACTGCTGCCACCTTTCTCAGCGAAAACAAATGGGGCACCCCGTTTGTTTTCGCTGAGGAGGGTGGCAGCAGTTGTGCAGACCTGGAGGGTGCCATACATATCTGCGCCTGCCACGTGGCTGATGCTGGGGAAAACTCCCCCTTGTGTTGCTGCTCTTTTCCATCTTCTATTGATCTGCTTTGGTAACAGACGGCAGCAAATCGAGTCCACGCAGTAATGGCTCTAGCTGGAGTGAGACAATCTTTTGTTGTTCCTGTTCTTTGTATTATTTGCTGAGGATGTTTTCATTTACCAAGTCATTAAATGGGGCTAAAAGTTGAAAGGGTGTGCAGTATTTGGTTTGTGTCTACTACCAATGTCAGAGGCAGAACAACAGATGAGAATGGACTTTGGGTTGTATTCGTTTCAATCCAAGAGATGCTGAAGCTGTTGAGTCAGGATTGTATTGCCTATCTGACAAAAGATGAAGTCTGATAGAATTGCCTCTGACTCACGACAGTCATTACTGTGTTGTTTGGTAAGCGTGAAGGGTAAGAAGAAAATAAATAATTACGATATGACTCCTGTAGCACCAATTACCTCTGGAGTAAATCTGAGTGTAACTAGAGCAAATCCACGTTATTCAGGGTTATACTGTATTTCAGTGGTTCAGATTGTGGATGCTTTCTTAATATGGCAATTTTAAAATTTATTTTTATTCATATTACTGATGGATTTTTAAAATGTTTAACCATTTGTGGACATTATTATTGCTTGTACTACAGGACTGTTACAGTAAATGGGAAAAAGGCCTTGTGGTGTAGTCCATTTAACTTCTTAGAACTAATCTCAAAGTCAATGCATATTGGGAATCAGGATTGGATATCAATGGAGACTAGGGTATGATGAGGGTTTTGTGGTTTTTTTTTTTTTAATTTAAACAGTAGTGTTTAAGCTG